CAATCCTCACGGGCCCAGGACCAGGCTGGACTTTCTGATCACCCTTTCTTGATAATAAGAAGACAGACCCAGTACAATGCCTGGACTCCGGCTCCAGTCACATTCTGGTTCAGCCCCGAGGTTGGCAGCTGGACCCACCCTGGGGAAGAAGCTGGTTCGGCCTGGTGTTCCCCATGTCCAGGGATAATTCCCATCTTGGGAATGACTGGAGGCCTTGACACAGCTCCCCTGGGTACAATAGTCCTGAAGTCATGGGAAGTCCTAATTATGATATTCCATACCACTCCCAGACCCTGTGTCAGCGAAGCTGTCCCAGGCTTTAGTTCACAGTGTGTGGTGGTCACTGTTTAAACATTTCTTCTCACCTGTGTCTAAACCAAAGGGTCCCAGACTTTGTAGATAGAGTCAAAGCTGTAGTAAGAAGGATTGAAGTTAGACTCTGAGATGGTCCCCTTCCCAAATAAGGAATCTTCAAGTTAGTGCCTGTGAAAGGCTGCTGTGGTTTGGGGATGTCACGAAAGGGTGTCCTCTGTCTTTGCCGAGATTAGGCTGTTGCAGATGAGGGTGGTCACAGACAAAGAGGCACCATACGTGAGCTGCAGGGCTGCGAGGGGAAGGTGGTGATCTCCTGTCCAGTAACAATCTGTGGACAGCATGGCTCAACTGGGTACACTCTAGGTGAGGGATCACCTCACTCGGAATTTGAGGGTGAGGACACCAGATGGTTGGAGGTCATCTTATAATGCCCTGGCTGGTCCCCTGTAGGTCTCTGATGATGAATATACCAAACTTCTCCATGATGGGATCCAGCCCGTGGCTTCCATTGACTCCAACTTCGCCAGTTTCACCTACACCCCTCGCTCTCTTCCCGAGGATGACACTTCCATGGTGAGCCAGGGGCTGGCTGCAAGATTGCCGAGGATTGCTCCGGCATGTGGCCTCAGGCCTGGCACCTCATTCCCTGTGTTTCTAAGATTTTATGTGAGCTTGGTTCCAAGAGTTCTTAGATCCCATATTTCTAAATGTCCTTGGCTCTGAGAATTCTTGGTGCTGCCATTTTATGGTTCTCTAGTATAGATCTAAAGATCTAAGACTCCAAAATTTTGTATGCTTCAAGAAGGGCCAAAGCAGATGTCCTATCTTGACAATCCCTCATCCCCTCCCTTCTGCTCTCTGCAGGCCATCCTCAGCATGCTGCAGGACATGAATTTCATCAACAACTATAAAATTGACTGCCCGACACTGGCCCGGTGTGTGCCCCCAGCCCTCCCCTCTGCATGCAGGCAACCCCATCTCTGTCTCTTTTTGCCCTCAACTCTCACATCCATTGCTCCCAGCCTACTAGGGAGGGGTCTTTCTGGGACAACTAGGGAAGACAGTGGGAGTGGGAAGGATCCATGAATGAGAGGCAATTCCTAGACACTGGGACCATGAGGAAAGGAAAGGAATAGGGAAGGGTAGAACCTGAAGGGCTACCTGGAAGAGGAGAGCCTGAGGCCCATCTGCTGCCCTCTCCCCTCCTCCAGGTTCTGTTTGATGGTAAAGAAGGGCTACCGGGACCCACCCTACCACAACTGGATGCACGCCTTCTCTGTCTCTCACTTCTGCTACCTGCTCTACAAGAACCTGGAGCTCACCAACTACCTCGAGTGAGTGGTTGCACTTCCCTCCATCTGTCAGCCGCTGGGGTCCCCTTCCTTGGGACAGGGAAACATCTCCTATGTGTCAGGCACTTTACATGTACCACCTAAGGGGACCCTCTTAACAGCCCACTGAGGAAGGTTGTGTAGCCCCATTTTCTGGGCCAGACTTGCTCATAATCACAGCCCCAGGAGTGTTGGGCCTGCCAAACTCTAAACCAGGACTTCTTTCCAGAAAGGGGACCCAGGTGTCCTGAGCTTTTATCCTTGTGTCTCCTGGACATCTCATCCAGCTGTCCCTCCTCTGGGGGTCTGGGGAGGAAACTGTGGCTGGACCTCTCTCCTCTCTGTCTCCCAACCAGGGACATCGAGATCTTTGCCTTGTTTGTTTCCTGCATGTGTCATGACCTGGACCACAGAGGCACAAACAACTCCTTCCAGGTGGCCTCGGTGAGATCCTGCCCTCCTCACAGTGGGCACCCTCCCTGGGGTGGCTGGGAGTGTCACTTCTCTAGCCTGAGGACAGGTGGGAGCTGGTGAGACCAGGAGCCTGAGGCTCTCCCAGGCCTTGTGCTGGGCTCTGAGATGGGGGAGGGGAGACGGCAGGAGGAGTAGTGGGGAGGGGGGGCTGCTTAGCATAATATGGCCAGCACTTGGATCTGGATGTGAGGAGTGATGGAGTTTTCCGGGCTTTTCCAGAAATCTGTGCTGGCTGCGCTCTACAGCTCTGAGGGCTCTGTCATGGAGGTACCGCCATTTCCCCCCAGCACCCTCTCTCCCATCCCCCCACCTCATTCCTTCATAAGGCTGGTGATATGCAAAGTTGGACTGTGACCCAGCTACTCCTGTTCCCAAACCCTGCTTTTCAGGCAGGCCGTGAGAGCTGCAGCTCCCCCCCCC